TCATTTAACGGTCAACTATAATAGTTGACTGCCACATCAGCAAAAACTAACGGAGACTAATGGAGACTGACCAAACTTGAACTATTGAACTAATCTTAGTGACCATGAATGGAATTAAATATTTGCAGTGACCAAACATGAACAGTTTTAGTAAACCCAGTGACCATCCTTGCAATTAACCCATGATTCTTCAGTTACCATCATCACTGTTACCAAAAAAATTTAATTTATTAAGTGCTCTCTCGTTCAAGAGCGGTTCCCCTTATTTTTTGCTTGCGAATTGAGGATTATAGTTCTGCCTCGCTTTGCCCCTATATCTTGCTACACTAATCAATTTCACTCCCGTTAATTCCCAAATGATAAGTGCATGTTTAAAAATAGGAGATATGCAGGGCTGAGGAGCAGATTCCGAATATGAAGAGACTACACATGCTTTCTAATACAGATGACAAGTAAGTCATACACAACATGCTTACTCAATATCTATCAATACCGTTTTTATATCTAATTTATATCGAGATGATCATGTGTCTATAAAAAATATTGATCATAGTCCAAGGACTAGGGGGAAAAGTATAAAAGAAATGGCATTAACCCTTTCAAAATCTATGCATTATATCCCTAAAAATTATGCATTCCTAGAATTGATCCATATTTTAAGAAGAAAAAGCCCAAAACAAGAAAAATGCATAAACTTATTGAGGGCACTTCGTTAGTCCTTCAACCTTCTAAATGTTCATCAACAATCTAACATAACTATGGACCAAGAAAGATACTGAAGATTTGTCAATCAATATAGAAGCGCCTGTCGTGGTGGCGGCGGCTGCAATCATCCCACCCCGCACATTGAACGACTGGGTAACAGCTCACGAACAGTCAGTGGATCTCGAATATAATAGGGTCTTTGGCCTGTGTAAGGGCTGCAGCCCAATAGTGACAATTGGCGTGTAGAACTCTCAGATAGGGTTGAGTGTAGATGGCCGAGACTTGTATATATGTAACCTACTGCACAACGTTGATGATAAGAGAAATACGAGAGATACAACCGATCTGTGTACTAGTCTTGTTCGATTTGATGAACAAGGAAACCATGTAAATCCTGTCTTGTTCATTTTTGTCTTCATTACGAATCTTTCTACGTTATGATTATCATGGTATAAGAGTCCCGTTTGATGGATTAGGAGAATATCAACACTCGTCTTAATTCGAAAAACTTTTTCCTATGAAAGTTCCAGTTTCACACGTTTACATATTGAAGGTCAAGGATTTTTCAGGTTCCTTGATGGTACCACAACGAAGCCGGTTGTTCCTCCGATGGTCGAGCAAGATGTGACTAAGTAGATGCAATCGGATGCTAAGGTACGATCATAGATTCTGAGATTGATGGATTCATCTATTATTTTAGGTCTTCGTCTTCTTCCAACATCGCTCGAGATGTGGAAGGCCTTATAGGATACGTACGCCACAACTACTGTTGCAAGGCAATTTGAAATAAAAGTGCAGTTGGCAAATCTTCATCAGGGATATCAAGATGTGACGATGTACTATAATGATGCCAAGCTCTTGTGGACTGAGCAAGATATTTTTGTGGCAGCAATGTTGTCTGGATCAGCCTCGACAGAGGTAAAGGTTGAAAGAATTTAATAGGGTCTTTGGCATGTGTAAGGGTTGCGGCCCAATAGTGACAAATTGCGTGTAGAACTCTCGGCTAGGTTGAGTGTAGATGGCTGAGACTTGTATATATATTAAACTACTGTATAACGTTGATGATAAGAGAAATAAGCGAGATACCGCTTATCCGTCGACTAGTCTTGTTCGATTTGATCGAACATGAAAACCACGTAAATCCCATCTAGTTCTTTCTTGTATTCGTTAAGACTCTTTCTGCGTTACGATTATCAAGAGCAAGCACCTCCTAGTCCAAGAGGACGGCGTAACGAACGGTCGGCTCAAGCAGCTGATCACGAACCAACTGGCGACAATACTGATGTCAACCCCCATCTCTTCTTCTACTTTGCTTCCTCGTCGTCCACGTCAGGTCGCCGCCCGCATCCTCCGTCGTCCTCGTTTTCCTCCTCAGTCTCAACTTCATCCAAATAAGACAGCTCTCTGATCTCTCTCTCTCTCTCTCTCTCTCTCGAATCAGGTCATGTATTATCTGGTGATCATGTCAAATAGTACGAACTTTGAAGAAATGAGCACCAAGATTTAACGTGGTATCTTTGAATTTCAAGACTAATCCACGGGAGAGGTTGTGCTCTCCAAAGAGTTTCACTATAATCTCAAAGGCCTCCTTACAGAAGAATGGACGTGTTCGGCTATATATATGGGGTAAAACACTAAACCTAATTATCATACACTAATATGGCTATTTACTATTAGGTACTCAAACATTATAAATCAACACCCTCCCTCAAATTGATGTGTAGTTCGCAACATCAATTTGGAAGACAAGTACCAATGTCTACTTGAAGCAACAACCTTCGTGAGTAAATTCGCAGTCTGATCTTCAGTAGAAAGATAGCCAATCTGTATCATCCCTTCAGCCACTAATTGTCTGATATAATGAACGTGCACCTCAATGTTTTGTCATGCAACACTAGATTGATTGCAATCTGGATTGCACTAGTGTTATCCCCATATATCCTCATTGGGACTCGACAAGCAACACCCAATTCCCCGAGTAACCAATGAAGCCATACAATTTCTGAGCTCACCTCTGACATCGATCTATATTCCGCCTCAGTTTACGACTTCGACACTCGATCCTGCTTCCTATAGCGCCATGATACACAAGATTGTCCAACTTGTACACACTAACCTGAAGTCGATCTTTGAGTATCAATACAACCAGCATAGTCCGCATTAGCGAACGCCTCCACCACAGGTTCTCCGATCGCACCTCAAGAGACAAAGAACTGCATCCAAATGTAGATTAGTCGCTATACCCATAAACTGACTTACAACTTGAACCGCATATGATATATCTAGTCATATGCGTTAAATAAATCAAGCTTCCAACCAGACTATGGTACAATGACCGATCTTCTATCAATTCTCCTACGTCCCGGCTCAGTTTAAGATTTTGTTCCATATGAGTTGAACAGGGAACACAGTCTGCGAACTGAGCTTACTCTAAGAGATCCAAGATGTACTTGCATTTAGACATAAACAAACCATGGTCAGACAGTCGGACCTCCAGACCCAGGAAGTATGAAACCTCACCCATTTCCTTCAAGTTAAAGGCTTGTCGCAAGGTTTGAGTAACATCCTCAATCCCACCCTTATCACTGTCGGTGATGATCATATCATCAACATAAATTAACAGAACAACAATCCCAGCAACTATCTCGCGAGTAAACAATGAGGGATAATTCCCAGGCGCACGCTCCATATATATCGTTTCTTTCAAGTCGCCGTGAAAAAATGCATTCTTCACATCAAGTTGAAGAAGAGACCATCCTCGCATGGTTGCTATTGCGAAAACACAACATACTGTCTGCATTTTCACCACTTGAGCAAAGGTCATGTCGTAGTCGATGTCGTACTCCTGCTTAAATCCCTGCGCAACCACTCTCGATTTGAATCTCTCTATTATCCCATCTGGATTCATTTTCACTGTATACACCCACCTACTTCCGATCACTGACATCCAATCTTATTGTGGCACTAATTCCTAGGTTTCATTTTCTTCTAGAGCATCCATTTTGACTTTCATCGAAGCATTCCACCGAGGATCTTTAGCTGCCTCTGAGTAGCAAGTGGGAACAACCACATGTTCAATTGCGAACCCAACAAAATCTTACATGCGAGCTGGCCGTTTGCCTAACGTTGCACGGTTGGAGCGACGCAAAGGGACAAAGCTTGGGCAGGCAGATCCACCTCACCAACAACTGCCGATGAGGTTGAGGAATCCCTCCTCGAAGACAAACTCGAGGATGAGGATGTTGTCTCATGTGCCCCAGTCTCGTGAAATGAGCTCTCACTGGATGGACCGGACCTGCTAGACGAACCCACGTCGGCTGGACAAGCTAGTCGCTGAAGAATTTCCTATGGTAGATGGCCTACTATCCGAATCAGTATCAAGAGAAGTGACCATTTCTTGAGGTGGGGTAGCAGGCAAGATCAGATCAAATACTGGCAGGGAGGTAAGAAAATCGAGAGAAGCAGCCGAACTAGCTTCTGCAGAATCAGCCCCGATAGTACATTTCTGTCTCCAAGAATCTGATATGATGAGCAATTTGCATACGAAGACCAACAGGATCATAACACATATAACCCTTGTGCTTGTCGCTATAGCCGACAAACACACTTCTGACAACCTTAGGAGCCAATTTATGACGTTCTTTCTGCTGTAACAACACAAAACCGGTACATCCAAAATCGGAGAAAGGAGTAATCCAAAGACTTTAAGTACAACAGCTGAAATGGAGATTTTTGCCCCAACGCTGGTGTAATTTGACGATTAATCAAATACACTATCGTATGCACAACTTCCACCCAGAAGCCAGTAGGAACCCGTGAGTGAAACAGAGAATAGCACGCGTGAGCTCTAACACGTGACGGTTTTTCCGTTTCACTACTCCATTTTGCCGAGACACACCTGGGCAAGACTGTTTTGGCAGAATGCCCTCAGATTTGAAGATCTCAAAGAGCTCATTAGACGAAAAATCCCCTCCCGGATCAGACTGAAGCACCTTGATTGTTTTCCCAAATTGTGTCTTGACCATTTAAATGAATTCTCTAGATAGAGAAGTCAACTCGGGTTTCTGCTTCAGAAAATATACCCAAGTAAACCGAGTTGTGTGATCAATGAACAGAGCAAAGTACCTGTAACCAAGTCTGGAAAGAACCGGAGATGGCCCCCAAAGATCCGTGTGAATTAAATCAAATGGATCCTCATACATTGTATCACTAGGCGAGAAAGACGTCTCTGAGGTTTTGGCCTCTATACAACTAACACAATCAGATATCCCAACAAACTTCAATAAATTTAACTTATCTGGCAACAAATTTTGTTTAAACATAACCTTCAACCTCTTAGAATGAGGATGACCAACCCGACTGTGCCGCAAATCCCATAAATTTCCAGATGCAGACAAAATGTCATCACCCTTACATAAACGCCCATGACACCCATCCCCATTCCCACCAAGAGAAGCCCGACTGCCTTCACTCTTCCTGCCGTCCGATATAGCGTTCATGTCCTGCCCACAAAAGTCATCAAGTACAAACGGCCGACCATGCTAACTGCCTCTCCCGATCACCTTCCCCGACATCTGCTCCTGTACAACACAACCAGTATAGTCAAATTTGACACTATAGCCTTCATCGGTTAGCTATCCCACCAAGATCAGATTGGGATGATGTTTAGGGCATATAAAGTGTCAGGAAGAGTGGTTGAGGTCATGTGGGCAGAACCCTATCAAGAAATTGATATTTTCTCACCATAGGCAACTTGCAAACGTGTAGATGTAACATAACGTAAATCTTGAAAGACATTGCGATCAGGAGTCATGTAGTTAAACATAGCGGAGTCTAAAAGCCGTAAAAACTTGCCAGACGCAGGATTCGTGGCAAAGACGGAGGAAAGAGCAGCCTGGAGCGCCTCTTGAACCATACGTTGAATCAGATTGGCTGAGATGAGGCCTCAGCTCTCAACCTAGCAGTATCCCTGACATTATGCGAGCTTAGAGTGACCAGGTAGGCAGCCCCATGCGACCAGGAATGGCCAGAATGAGCAGGACGTAGACGACCTTTCTTGCTCAATGTTGGGCAAGCCAAAACAATGTGCCCCGTCCTCTTACAATAGTTACAAAAATTCATCTTCTTGCAGTGAATCTGAACATGCCCAGAATCGCGACAAAAATGACAGATGACCTCACCCGAGCTGGGATGGACGAATTGAGGACGAGATGTTGCTGCTGGTTGGCCAACAACAAAAGCCGATTCCGAGAGAGAGGTCGGATGATCGATTTGGGACTGGCTTTTAAGCCGCGTCTCCTTCCGCATGAGCTCAGCCACTACATCATCAATATTGGTAACACCCCGATGAATCAACAAGGCACGAATGTGCTCATATTTAGACTGGATTTTAGCCAAAAACTTAAGAACACGTGTACGAGCACGCTGCGCAATAACTGCCTCAGAAGCGGCATCGGGAACCAAAGACGCAATCAATAGATCATACCCAGTCCAGAGATGGAGACAAGCCTGATAGTAACCGCAGTCTCCAAATCAAATTGCCGAGACGCACTATTCTGAGCATAGGTACGACATATGTGCGTCCACATATCATGTGTCTTGGTGAACCGACGTAAACTAAGAGCGGTGGAAATGTCAATAGAACCAACCAACCATGTGATGAGTTGGGCATTGGCCGCCATCCAATCCTCAACATCCTTCGCCGCTGCACCAGTCGTCGGCTCCTTGAGCTCACCAGTCAATATGGGAAGAAGTCAAGCTACAAAATTCCGAAACTGAAATTCCCATATGGCAAAGTTAGTGCCATCAAACCAGATCGATGTCAAATCTGCCCGAGAGGAATCCATCGTACACACAGACGAAGAGCAAAAACCCACCGCGGGAAGCAAGCAATAGCCTAAAAAAGTGAGCAGCAGACGGACAGCTAGCGACAAAATCCAGCTAGCGACAGACACAGAGCTAGCAAGAAAATCCAACAGCCAAACCTTAACAAACCACGATGTGATAACCAAAAACCCACTCAGCCAAAAGTGATAATAAAACCCACGAGCCAAACTCCAATAAACCTTCACGCTACCAAACGCCAATAAACCCTCGCGAAACCCATGCTGCCACGAAAACAAACCCTACACAACCAAAAACCAATTCGCCGAACAGAAACAAACGGAGAGAAGAACCCACCTTTTAGAGCAGTAATTCATATATGATAAATTTTGTTCTCGGAAAATAATCATTATATTATTAGTAGAGTCAGTATCTAAGTCTAAGTCATGGGTCGCACACATCGAAGAAATGTGTAGAAAAAATGGCAGCAAAAAACACATATTATTAAGGTAATCGGCGGCAGAATTCGACTCCCTATATACATGTGAATTGATAACCTCTAAATCAAGGTTCAAAAGATGTTTGAAGTCCATGCTTGTGCTCGACATCTTCATAGTTCATTATTATAGCTATGGCAGTTTATGTACAGCTCATCAATTCTATGTCCTTCCTCCAAGAAAACTTTAATCTTTCAGCTATCGCCCCACTTATGTTTTGTTGTCATTGAATGACCGACGCATTTTAAACTAACTGATTAAGCGGTAATCATGGGATGAGTTAGAGTGCTAATTTTAAAAGAGTTAGCGTCATACTATAATTCTTATTACTATTCAATACATATTTTAAATCTAACAATGAGGAGTAATGAGGGGCTTGTTTAGTATGCCAAGAAATTAAATTTAATAAATTAATTAAAATTTGTTAAATATCTCTCCATTCTTTATAATAGATCTTTCAGTGTGAAAAAACCACTACGTTACTAATACATATATTAGTAATGGTTTTGTGGGTATAGCCACAAGTTCGCAGAAAAACTAGAACTAAAAAAATATTAGTACTTAAATTAGTACTAATTTTATAAAGATGTTGTAGTAAGTTTATGATCTTCGATAGTGATTTCGTTGATATATGCCATTTTGATTATGTTACACATTTGACTCAAGAATTTCATTGACAGAAGTAGGAGGGTAGATCTTTGCAAGCTGAATCACTATAATTCCTTTAAACCAATAACTGATGTATCCCAATATAAAAATATATTTCAATTTGTGCAACAAAGAACTTATCACAAGTAAGATCAAGATAACAATATTATTTATCATGACTTATCATCTCATCCCTCGTTTTGTTAGACCTATATAGTTAGAACATGTAGACATACAGCAATTTCAAAGTTTGTTGGGAACTGAAAGTGGTGAATTCTCAAATGCTTTTAATATCGTTATTTAATGAAGAAGAAAAAGATATGGATAATGTAGTTCGCCATATCAACCTTCATATAGTTTGTGAAAGGCCACAATATATATGCGCATCCATAGAATAAGGAAGTTCTTTCTTCGACGAGTTTGAAAAGAATTGGCTTCTATGAGTGCCATTTAAAGAAGCATGAAAGTACGGAGCCAAATGACATTGTAAGAGAACACTATTTTTGAAAGGCAAAAAAGAATCCTCTTTCTAGGGAAAAAGTATATAAACAGTAGAACAAGTCTCCAAATTATTTTCTACTGTTTATTGAAACTTGAACAGTTCTCCATATTGCTCTCTACTGTTTATCTACTTTATTCCTAGAGAGATAATTCTTTTTTGCCTTCTATAAATAGTTCTCTTAGAATGTCATTACGTTGCGTCTTTCATACTTCTTCAGTTGACACTCACAGATGTCGATTCTTTTCAAACTCGTAGAAGAAAAAACCCCATTATACTATGGATGAGCAGGTAAGTTTTGGTCTTTCACAAACTATATGAAGATTGATATGACGAACTATATTGTTCATTGATTTTGCTTCTTTATTGATCAACAGTATTAAAACATTTAAGATTTTACCACTTTTAGTTCCCAACAAACTTTGAAATTGTCGTACGTCTACCTGCTCTAACTATATAGGTCTAACAAAACGAGCGATAAAATGATAAGTCATGATAAAAAACATTGTTATCTTGATCTTACTTGTGATAAGTTCTTTGTTGCACAAATTAAATAATATTTTTATATCAGGATACATCAATGATTGGTTTGAAGGAATCAGAGTCATCCAACTTGCAAAGATATAATCTCTTACTTATGTCAATAAAATTCTCCCATTCAATTGTGTAGACTAATTTTCATATATCTTGTTGAAGAGTTGAACCATCGTCTATTGAAGAATATGAACACTCTGTTGTTGAATTTTGTTGAGAAGTTTTCGTCTTGCACGATAATCTGCATAAGCATGATAGGAGAGTCATTGGCAAGGTCGTTACAAGATTTATTGGAGTAAGAACACTTATACATGCATGGCTACTGGTGTCAATGTTAAAGTTCATAGAAAGCTCCACTTATAGTCCTTCTCCTGATTTATTCCATTTTGAAAAGTACGTAACCACTTGATATGCACTGAAGAATTCATCAATTGGATGGTATAATATATTGGTTGTCTTTGTTAAGATTATCAGAGAACAACAATGATGTTGGTGTTCGTTTGTCAATTGACCACGTTAGTCAATCATGAACGTGACTCTGGGGTCTCACACCTGTTAATGAAGTAGCTCCAGTATACATACATATATTCTAAGAGAATGAGTTATTTGAAAATTTTGCAAAACAATATATGGATCTGAATCAGTGGTAGGATCTCGGAAAAAGTGTAGATAAGTGACTTGATGCATCTATTAGGTTGGTACTTGATCTGTTTTTCACTTTCACTTGCTGAGTTCTTTTTTCATCGAGGTTGACAAAACATTAGTTTTAGATATTCTGTTATTGTTAACTCTAACTAGTAATGGCTCCCTCACTTCCGCTTTGCGGAGAGGGTAATAGTATTATAAATATGTATAAAATAATTAGCAAAAATGTAATATTCATTAGAAATAACTTTAAAAGTAGCAAAACCCATAAAGTATTATGAGAGAGGTTTATAACAATTTGCACTCATATAGCAATGAGACTATGGATAATAAGATGACAATCTAAATATAATTTAAGTAAGAATATGTTCAATTTGGACCTCAACAACAATTAATTAGAAATTTTATGACGTTTTAATGTCTTCATGGAAAAGAGTAAAGATATAAGTGATTGAGGGTCTTTTTTCTCCTAACAATAAAAAAAGATATTCTCAATACTAACCATAGACTCCCAATTGAGATAAAAATAGAAAAGATAAAATTATAATATGGTAAAATCAAAGAAAATAGAGGGGAAAGATGGAATAATGTAACATCTATATTCATCCATGTCCAAGAGTTTTATAAAACGTTCTTGATGGAAAAAAATGTGAATGAAAGATCCCACTAAATGTTTCTTATGCCACTTCTGTTCTCATAGTGAGCGATTTCCCACTATTCTCATATTCGTCTTAGAGTGAGAGAGATCAGTAACGATACATAACCATATATGAACAAAAATGTAGGTTTTAACACAACATAAATAAAATGATAACAAAAATGTACCATTACAAGATTCTCATCTACAAAATACTATAAGCCAATGTCAAAATCGGTCTTTGCCAATCTCCAAACGGAAACTGTAAACTCTCTCTGGCCGGTCTTTGTTGTCATTGAATGACCGGCGCATTTTAAACTAACTGATTGAGCGGTAATCGTGGGATGAGTTAGAGTGCTAATTTTAAAAGAGTTAGCGTCATACTATAATTCTAATTACTATTCAATACGTATTTTAAATCTAACAATGAGGAGTAATGAGGGACTTGTTTAGTATGCCAAAAAATTAAATTTAATAAATCAATTAAAATTTGTTAAATATCTCTCCATTCTTTATAATAGATCTTTCAGTGTGAAAAAACCACTACGTTACTAATACATATATTAGTAATGGTTTTGTGGGTATAGCCACAAGTTCGCAGAAAAACTAGAACTAAAAAAATATTAGTACTTAAATTAGTACTAATTTTATAAAGATGTTGTAGTAAGTTTATGATCTTCGATAGTGATTTCGTTGATATATGCCATTTTGATTATGTTACACATTTGACTCAAGAATTTCATTGACAGAAGTAGGAGGGCAGATCTTTGCAAGCTGAATCACTATAATTCCTTTAAACCGATGACTGATGTATCCCAATATAAAAATATATTTCAATTTGTGCAACAAAGAACTTATCACAAGTAAGATCAAGATAACAATGTTATTTATCATGACTTATCATCTCATCCCTCGTTTTGTTAGACCTATATAGTTAGAACATGTAGACATACAACAATTTCAAAGTTTGTTGGGAACTGAAAGTGGTGAAATCTCAAATGCTTTTAATATCGTTATTTAATGAAGAAGCAAAATATATGGATAATGTAGTTCGTCATATCAACCTTCATATAGTTTGTGAAAGGCCACAATATATATGCTCATCCATAGAATAAGGAAGTTCTTTCTTCGACGAGTTTGAAAAGAATTGACTTCTATGAGTGCCATTTAAAGAAACATGAAAGTACGGAGCCAAATGACATTGTAAGAGAACACTATTTTTGGAAGGCAAAAAAGAATCCTCTTTCTAGGGAAAAAGTATATAAACAGTAGAACAAGTCTCCAAATTATTTTCTACTGTTTATTGAAAATTGAACAGTTCTCCATATTGCTCTCTACTGTTTATCTACTTTGTTCCTAGAGAGATAATTCTTTTTTTCCTTCTATAAATAGTTCTCTTAGAATGTCATTACGTTGCGTCTTTCATACTTCTTCAGTTGACACTCACAGATGTCGATTCTTTTCAAACTCGTAGAAGAAAAAACCCCATTATACTATGGATGAGCAGGTAAGTTTTGGTCTTTCACAAACTATATGAAGATTGATATGACGAACTAAATTGTTCATTGATTTTGCTTCTTTATTGATCAACAGTATTAAAACATTTAAGATTTTACCACTTTCAGTTCCCAACAAACTTTGAAATTGTCGTACGTCTACCTGCTGTAACTATATAGGTCTAACAAAACGAGCGATAAAATGATAAGTCATGATAAAAAACATTGTTATCTTGATCTTACTTGTGATAAGTTCTTTGTTGCACAAATTAAATAATATTTTTATATCAGGATACATCAATGATTGGTTTGAAGGAATCAGAGTCATCCAACTTGCAAAGGTATAATCTCTTATTTCTGTCAATAAAATTCTTCCAGTCAATTGTGTAGACTAATTTTCATATATCTTGTTGAAGAGTTGAACCATCGTCTATTGAAGAATATGAACACTTTGTTGTTGAATTTTGTTGAGAAGTTTTCGTCTTGCACGATAATCTGCATAAGCATGATAGGAGAGTCATTGGCAAGGTCGTTACAAGATTTATTAGAGTAAGAAACACTTATACATGCATGGCTACTGGTGTCAAGGTTAAAGTTCATAGAAAGCTCCACTTATAGTCCTTCTCCTGATTTATTCCATTTTGAAAAGTACGTAACCACTTGATATGCAATGAAGAATTCATCAATTGGATGGTATAATATATTGGTTGTCTTTGTTAAGATTATCAGAGAACAACAATGATGTTGGTGTTCGTTTGTCAATTGACCACATTAGTCAATCATGAACGTGACCCTGGGGTCTCACACCTGTTAATGAAGTAGCTCCATTATACATACATATATTCCAAGAGAATGAGTTATTTGAAAATGTTGCAGAACAATATATGGATCTGAATCAGTGGTAGGATCTCAGAAAAAGTGTAGATAAGTGACTTGATGCATCTATTATGCTGGTACTTGATCTGTTTTTCACTTTCACTTGCTGAGTTGTTTTTTCATCGAGGTTGACAAAACATTAGTTTTAGATATTCTGTTATTGTTAACTCTAACTAGTAATGGCTCCCTAGCTTCCGCTTTGCGGAGAGGGTAATAGTAT